CAAAGTACATATGCACAGTGTCGGCGAAACTGTGTGTTTCCGGTACCTCCGTCAGTGTTAATCTCTAATTGTTCGACTATACATGTATATATATATATATCTTTTGATACAGCTTCGTGGAATTCGTAGCGGTCGTCTGTAGTAATGTTAAGTTCCCTCAACCTGTGTTTTCTAAGTAGTGTTCGGAACCTTGAAAAAGGTAACATTTTTGCCGTTCTCTGCATTTCTCTTATATATAACTTGCTCTATATAGTATAACTTGCTCATCGCCTCCTGTTGTGATTAAGTTCATATCTGCCTTGCTGAGAATAAATCTAGTTTTGCTAGATTAGTTGTATAGAGTCTGTTAGAGGCATTGTGGATGCTCTAAGGTCCAGGGCGTTATATTTCGGGAAGTTACATTTCGATCTGTTTGTTCTGGATGAGTGCCTTTTTGTAAATGGTTCGTTGTTGATGACATGCGGGAAATTAGAGTGCTAGGCATCTTGCTCCTTTTTTCAGGAAACTATATCTAGGTCCTGACAGATCTTCGTTTCTTTTATTTTAGGCCTTCTATTTGCGACATGTTATTGCTTTGCATCCCCTTTTTTGCGGTAACTGTATATCACGGTTTTGAAATGACATTAACTTGCTTAAAGGTTATTCTTGTGTAGCTATGTTTTAACGTGGTAGACCTCGGCTTTGTCGTCGGGTTAGTGCTAACTGGGCGACTCGGCTGACCTAAGTAAAATCTACGACTCCGCAACTGAACCTGATAAAGACGTTAGTTTTTCTTCGTTCACTTGAATTGTGATGCAAGCGGTACGGGTCTCAATTTGCGGTACTTATTGACGTATAATCAAGCCTTAAACTATGCCGTAGTTCGCTTACTAAAAGCAACTTTTAGATGTATCTTTACTAATTAGGATCACAGATATAGTGGTTGTTTGTCCAGCGGCCTATTTAAGCATGCTGAACTTATCTCTTTTGAGAGGCATGTTTGAAATAACATTTTTGCATATTTTATCCGGCGCTATTCCAATCGTAACAAGATTTAGCTCGTCGGTTACACTTTTAATCAATGGACGTATTTCAGTGTGCAGAGCTTACTCAAAAAATGCCCAACTTAAGTCTTTACAGCCTTACTTATTACCTTAATGCCTTACGTAATCCTTTAAATTTCACCAATTTGTATCTTTCCTTGCAGTAGTAATTTTTTACATTTTTTTTAAGAAGTTTACTACTCTACAGGTTGCTGTGCGGCGCTCTTCTCGATGATTTGAAACTTAATCTTCGTCACCGCTTCGTTGATGATCGTATATTTTGAACTAGATTAGTAACGTTTTATAGTTGTCTCATCGGAATTCGATGAGTACATATATTTAGAGAATCTGACAGTATTGCTTACGACAGTTTCAATTATGACATAAAAAGTAAATATAAAACAAGCGTACTTTATCAATCGAGTAGTATTCTATTTTTATCTATTATAGCTTATGTTGCATTTAAGCCATGACTTCGTCAAACATAGAGTATTATCAGTGCTACGCTTTGAATGTATGTGTGTATGGTGTCGATGAAGCAACAGGCAGGATCGTCCTACATTCTTACACTGGAAGTGCTTATTCTGTGAAAGCCCCAAAAGATGTCGGATGAGGGACGGTTAGGTCGGTGCGGGGCAACAGCCGGGCTTGAAGTCTTGGCCCAGATCTGAACTGAACGTTGGGGCGAAAGAAACAAAGGAAACTTTCTGTCACGGCAGAGGCATTTCGTTAGTCGAGGTCACCCGTTTTCGTGGTTCTCTGCTCTGCGTCTGCTATTCTGTTGAAGTGTTTCCATGATTTCCTATGCCGCATCTGGTGTTATGCTGAACTAGCCGCCAATTGAATGTAGCTCAGCTCGTTGGTATACGGGTCAGTGCAGCTATCGTTACTGAGCGCCGGAGCCCTTGTTCGCGGAACTCGTGCTGGAACTTTTAGGCATATGGGACCTCTTTCCATGGACCACTCAAGCTATCAGTATACCACCACTGGTAATGGCCTAACACCAGCGCTGGTCACGATAGTTGCTTTAGCGAAGTAGCTTGGAAGACTGATCTGCTGAATCGGCAGGGACGAACATAACCGGCAAGAAGTAACCTACACATGTGTGTTGAAACAATTGTAACACTAACATTTCTATCGTATATGGTAGTATCATAACAGTGGTGGCAGCACAGTGGTATTGCTAGCAAAATACGCTCGAACCTTTCGTAGGTGAGGTCATGAAAAAATACTTCGACGCAGTGTTGAAAAGCACTTCGCATGCATATATATTGATGATTGATTGGCGCAGATATATTGAGACAAACGGATTAATATGTCGCTCGAAAAAATTCGTTTAAACCCAATGAAAAAACTGGGTCCTTGTTTAATGTATCTCAAAACGAGACATCTGAATTTTATGTCCGATCCCGCCGAATCTATCTGCAAGTAAAACTATAGGCGCGCATATAAGCTACGAGCTAAATGATTTGGTTATGTTGAAACCCTAAATATGATGAGAATTCATTTTTAACGATTTTTTGTCTCTAGCAGTAAGAGGTCTGATTGGTTGAAAACGGTGATTCTGATCTGATCTGACACCAGCGGAAAATCTGCATAGCGGGTAGACGCAGTTTTCTCTCATTGTAAAAGGAATCAACGAATGCTTTACGCACTGTAGAAACTGGACTGCCCTTGATACCTTGTCGAGTTATCATCCAGCGCCTCAGTGAAAGGCCGCAAAGCTTTGCTTGATTATATCATTTTTGATTGTATCGTCAGTCCCGGAGCTACCATGACAGAGAATAGAAAGTGATTTTTTGAGTAGCTACCCCAGCTGACCCTCGGTAATGTTATTTATCGGCACGTCAATTATCTCCACATTATTCAGCACACACTGCCGCTTTCATGCCAAAAGACTCAGCTAACCGGTTATTGCCATCTTCACATCTCAGGGGGTTATAAAGATACCTACCGGTGTCCGTATAGGGGACCTCCTTGACGCTAGCGGATGGAGGGGCTCGAGAAAACAGGAAGGCGCCGGTGGACGAGGCAATGCGTACCTGTCTGTTTGTATGGAGTCAAGTACGCTTGTGGCGTTGACACCATCCCCCTAGCACTGTCGCCGTTGTTGATGGTGAAGACACGATCATAAGCAAACGGAGAGGCGACAGAAAAAACAACAAGGAAATGCAAACGTGTTCTTGATATACGGGCAATACTGAACGAGAAAACAACCGTCATGACAAACAACTAATTAAATGCTGAGCCAGCCTCTATATAGTATGGCTGGTGCCTTTTCCATGAAACGGTGAATTGTTCGCTGGGAATCAGATGGTATTTAGCTCATTTCGATGCTTGATAATTCGAGATTTTTCTTGAAGGACTCAGCTGCAGCTTTATTTTGTCATAGATCGATTCCAACATCGGTATACTATGAATCTCTCTCTCCATATGTGGGCATTTTGGTTTTCGGAAAAAACATAAACGGTAATCACGATTCAAATCTCTGCGGAGGTCTCCTATAGATATCATATAATATAAACTATAAATTGATTTGCCGCTAGTGCTTTGGAGACCTGATGAAGCGTACCAGTTTGTACAAAGAATGCAGTTACAGAACAGACAAATTGCTAGCAGCTTTGGTAAGAGCGCGATATATGGGCAAAACGTGACAATGTCGGATTCAACATTAGAAACGATAAGCTACACGGAAATTTGTTTATACGCACACCAAATTGCCATAATTCAAGATCTCTAGCCCCTATGTCACATGTAATAACTACGAGTCAAGTTATCCGAAGTCAAAGTTATAAGTGGGTGGCAGTTCTCCTCGTTCCACACGAACAAGTGAAATATACCTGCAACAATACAAAGATGTCTAACGCGTTGCTGTATTTAGATGTATAACCTCGTGGAATGGCTGGGCGAACAGGCAGGCAGGCAGGCAGGGGGCGCAAATTCAACTCGGGGAAAATGTGTGAAGGTGTGCATGTGTATGCTTTGTTCTCTATGATAGTGCGTACATGTAAACGAACGAAAAAGCGCGCCAATGAGCAGAGCAACATAACGAAGGAAGAAGGCGAAGGTGACGACGACGACGACAACAACTATCAGGAGACGGTGAAAGGGAGAAGAAGGCGAAAATGGCTGGTGCTTTTTACAGCCGGCCACTCCAACACTACAGGGAAGTGGACAGTTCGCTAGCGTGAACGTTTTTTACGTCAACGCGTACACGAAACATCTGTTCTTGAGTCGACACCTTTTAACGGCAGCAGCACCTTGGAGTCTTCGATTCATGGGTCACAAAGGAGATGAGTCCTCTCCTCATATCTTGATCTCAGACGTGATCTATAGGAAAAACGCAGAAGGATAAGGGAGAGAATGGACATGGATGCTTCCACTACGATCACTCAGCGAGGAAAAGTGGATTGAAAACAAGGTAGTTAATAGGAACGATGATAACGAGAACACTAAGCTCAACGAACGGAGGAAAAGAAAGAGGGCCACAGGAAATGACAATGATCCGATTGGGATCTTGTTTTCGATCATATCGAGTGAAAATAGTGATGATTGCAACTAGTGATGGAAACAGTTGTGTGTCCTATAAGAACAATCATGTCTTTAATAGATATTTTCTGTTCAACACAACCACGCGATGAAGCTTTCGACTTCATTTAAAGATGGATGGCAAGTTGTAACCTGCGGGATTACATGTGGACAGATCTTGATACCGAGATAGATAATATATGAAAAATAGTTCTGTATAGATATGTTCTTCATTTTTAGTTTTACAGGTTCGTCCAGGGATACCGCAAAATAAAATCATAACTCTCAAAAAGTATCTTTAGTAGACGATACTAATCTTTTATCGCAAATCAAATGACAGAAGGAACCATTTTAGTTCGGTGCAATTTACGTATCATCATCTATATCGTTAGAAATTGTTATATATAAGCTAACTAAAAAATGTATCTTTCTATATTTCGCTCTTTCTAGTTGTGGACGTCCTACCAGGTAGTGAAGTATCTGTCAGTGAAGTATCAGCTGTTCCGCTAGGGGGTACTGCGGTGCTACGATGCATCAGCAACACTCCGGTGCGTGACTCTCTCGTGATCGTTTATGCATGGCAGACCGATGATGGATTCTCTTTATCAACAAGCGACAGTCCCGCAGCTTCCGTAAGTAGCAATGCCGTAATTTCCGGCCAACAGCAAAGCAAGTATATAACGTCGCACAATGGCCGGGTGTTACTGGTTAAGTCGGTGACGCTTCACGACGAGAAACGGCGTTTTCGCTGCTCCATCTATAATAAATTAACGGGCAGAAAAGTGAACAGCGTCAACTGGGCCAAAATTGCCATCGTTAATGGTAAGTGAAAGCAGAAGATTATCTTCGACTTCTTTAGATATTTAATGTTATTTTTTTTGTTTGCGTCACTCCTGGCTTTTGTCGTATTACTAATCTACTTCAAAAGTTAAATACAATGGTGTCATATCGTCTCTGCTTCCATCTAAATCTGCTTCACTGGGTTTGGGGCAATGGATGAGTATGCATAGCTTGCGAAAAAAATAACAAGACAAATATTAGTAGAAAAAAAAAATCAAAGCACAAAGAAGAAAAAAACCGAAGCAATAAGAGAAAAAACAACAAATGTAGGTCATTAGTAATAGTTTTTGTTAGGGCACATATGGAAGAGTGATTAGCCAATCGATGTGAAGAAGGTCCACTGAACTTGGAAAGGGATGATTGCTCGCAACGGACGTTGCAGTTTTATATGGGTTATTTTTTGAAACGATCTACGAAACAGCATGGTAACAGCGTCCCATAGTAATCATTCGTCAACGCTAAATTTTGTTCTCATGGCATATTACCATAGTAACGCACCCAACCAAAGGCGCGTTAGCTACCCATCCTATGCCGCCCCAATCATAACGCTTCTACACAATGTATGGATGTTACCACGCCATAGCTTCATAGAGTAACTTAATTAACCATTTCCTGAACTGGAACTGGTTTCTACTAAGAAAAATTGTTTTATGCTCAGTTAGTACTAGCTAGTTACCTAGTTTACTAGTTACTTTGTAATTGCTTACAGCCATTTGTGTCATAAGGATCTATGTGGGTAGTCTTAGAAAGCACCAGAGCATTTAAATCGCATAACCATCCGAATGATATCTTGTACTTGTCTTCAATTACCTTAACCTACAGTGTAGCAGATCTATAAGAAACGAAATTAAGTGAGTGAAAAAGTACCGAAAACAGCGCCAGATTTCAATTATGAATCGGCCTTCCTTCTGATTGTCTAATGTTTTGAGGATGCTTTGCAAGACTCGTTAGTTCACGATCAAGTACAAATGTACCCTTCGGAACATAATCTTTGCGATAACATATAGCCATTAACTTCTCGTTCAAATTTGTTCCATAGCTTTAACTACCTGCTGAACCACGTTTTTGAACGATACACGCTTAGTATGCCTTTGACTAAATATCCTTTCATTGAGGAGACTTGTATTATCTGAGGTTCTCCAGTATAACTTAATACGACGGCACATACTCAGGGTAAAGTACTAACTTACTTTAAAATCAAACGCATGCAATTTATATGACAGCTAATGTGCTCCGTAAAGTTTAAAGCCTAACTTTCGTAAAGATGCGTCTTTCGGCTAAAAACTAGGTGCCATAAGTTCGCTCTATGAAAGTGCAATTGTTGACCCACCTTAGTGTGAACCCCCGAGTTTTATGAGATGTAATTCAAGTGAATACTATGTGGTTACCAAAAGAAAATTCTAATTTTTCGACAGTTTTAAAAAAGAGAAGCGCCGCTTCGCTTCGAAAATTGCAGAGATGCTTACTCGGACAACTTGAGAGTTGCTAGCTAATAAGAAAATAATCTCTGCTAGAGCTTGAAAGCAGTTTACTACTAATATTTGGTCCATATTTTCCCGCTGTTTTTGAGCGAAGATAAATACGAATGGTTATGCTCACTGCCAACTAAATCGAGAGAGCTCCTTTCGACCGTAGGCAGTGCCGTCAGTATTAGAAAATTTCTTGTATACCTCAGCATGATTTTGCGCCAGTTCAAAAGACCTTGACTGTGCCTTCAAAATGATATTGCCGTACGTTACTGTCTTCACTCTAGTCACTGAGCGGCTATCCACGCTCCCAGTTTGAACCGTGCTGGATTTCGCTAGACGGAAGATGAAGGCGTCTATAGGGTCATGCAGTTGTGTATAAGCCTTGAAAACCTGAAACGCCCTTTGTTGGCACAACCCAAAAAGTGATTGCATCAATTTCGAAACCGGCATTTGCGACCCATTCTGAAGTTGCCCGTCATAATTCAATTAAACACGATCATATTAAAATGTAGGATATTTCTTTCTGTTCATAAAAGCGTCCATAAACTGATGAGACGACATATCTGACTGTTAAGAAATGTAGCGTCACTTGATTTAAAAACAATAAAAACAAATCCAATAAGAGCCAACATGACAGTTTTATACTGACGCAATCGCTCACTGTTTTAACTGCTTAGCAATTTCAATCAATAGCAACTCTACTGTGTTAATTACCAAAAAAACTAAGGTGATAGTTGAATAATAATTGTAGGTAATTACCTTATGCAAATGAATATGTACGCCAAGCTGTGGGCAACATTACAGCAGACACTGTAGCCATCGAGCGTCAGAAAGGACCAAGTGATCGATAATGGCCAACTTCATGGGTCGTTGAAGTCCGTGACTAAACATTAGGTGAAGCAGATGGAAATTTTGTCCTTATGACTAACCGTTTCTGCCCTCCTGTACTCAATAGAGGTCGCTCTATATACTATTCATTGATAGATGTGAGCATGCGCTTGCTTTAAAGGGGTCTTTGAGGAAAATAACTCTTGGGCAATGTTATACACCGTTCTAAGGGATAATATGCGCTTGGTACTTTCCTATGCATGTCCGTCTAGATGGCCTTCACATTTGTGCCATTAATACGATCATCCCTGAACATCCTCCTCGCCGACCCTTTTCCTGCTTCCGATATTCGCTGTTTGCAATATTGTGGTTAGTTAGACCGGCGCCCGAGAAAATGCGTCAAGATGGCTCTTCATCAGCTTGATAATGCAGCCTGTGACAGATGTTTCCTAACAGAGTAAATATGTTTCTAAGAAAATACGCCGAAATCATTCTTGGCCAACGCTGGTTAAACGAAACAAGCAAGGGCATATTTTTTGTTTTCTGGGATACCTGAGGCCTGTGTTTAGATACCCTCTATTGTTACAGCTGTTGGATGGAAACGTAGTCATTGAGCGAAGGCTATAATATTAAGAACAACTGAAAATATCATGCACTCATTTTAAAGAAAAACAGTTGCTAAAATTATGCCTGAATATATGCTCAATTCGCATTAGGAACAATTTTCGTAAAGCTTGCATCATTTGAGAATTTACGGAGGCATATATATATTGCAGAAGCGATAAACTAAAATTTGTAGAACTGAAAAACGCCGAAGTTAACCTGATTGGATAGAGACACAAGTCTTATGAAACACGTTTAATTTCCGCTTGCAGATGTGGTTAAGGATTCGCCTGCGAGAATGCTCGAATGTGTTCCGCGTATAACGTTAACTGAAGGTGAAACTTTGAGGCTTTCGTGCGCAGCTAGTGGTCATCCAAGTCCCACGTATCGGTGGTTCCGCGTAGCACCCCACAGCGCGCAACAAAATGCAGTTATACCGCAACCGTTAAGAGCAGCTGCATCAGAGCAACCTTTGCTTCGTCAACTGTTGATTATTAATAAAATGACGTTAGCTGACTCCGCTAGCTATATCTGCGTGGCCAACAACTCCTACGGTGAAGACAACTGCCATACACAAGTCGTTGTTACTGGTAAGAGAGCTCTGGGCAGATTTAACCCGCTTGCATATATAGAATATATATTTGCCAGTTCAGATGCGTTGATTGGATAGAGGTCTGAGCGGCTAGTCTCTAGCCAATAGCCTATACATATGCTTCGTTAGTCAAAATCCTTTAGCACATCAATGCGCGAGTTCCCTACACCTACTTTTTAGCTCAATATATTGATTCATGGCCTGCTTTAAGTAACCAAGGAAGAAATACGAGGTCAGCTCTTAGACATCATTAAGCGGTAGCTCGTAAGCGCATAGCCAGGAACTACAAATTCTGTTTTCCACAGTAAAGCCAAAATACAGCAGGAGCTGCACTGGAATATGTGTACAACTGCTGCTTTTCCAGCAATGATCAAATCAATTGTTTCTGGATTAAGCCGCTCGTTGCTTACTCTAGGAGTTATTCAGCCCTAGAATTTACCATGCGCGTATGCAGCACGAGGCGGGATAGGCACTGTGTTCTATTGCCTGTCCAAGGCAGCATGGGAGCTGCTGATTTGGGGAGGCGGTCGCCTGGGGAGCCGCCGCCGTAACAACTGCGCCCGTCTGACTTCACCCTTCACGCGCCAACCTTTTTGATTACTGCAGCTTGATTACTGATTGACTTTCGTTGAGCAGCTCCTATGGACTCAATCTAATATATATACTGGCGGCTGTTCGGAGAAACACAGGGCAGGATCTAGTCAGCAAAAAGGAGGCAGTAGGGTATTTTGAGCAAACCAAATACCGGCCTACATACGGACTTATAATAACACAGCAAACCGCCCCTGGTACACTCAGCGTTGTTGCGTATTGATTTTCTATCGGAATTCCCTGAACTCCGATAGTGTAATGCTATTAGTACCACGTTAAGGATTTCTTTGCTATTGATGGATATGGCGCGTGCGAGCAGTCAGACTCAGTACGTAGCTCAAACATGATTTCAAATGTCTTCAGATCATTTAAATACTTAAATATCATCTGTAAGTAAACTAAACTTACAGTGTTGTTCCTTTTGCAGTTCATTAAAGAGGAACAAAAAGTAGTATGGTTTCTTTATACTATTATTACAGCCTTACTTTATACCTAAGATCAAGCAGAAATCCGCTGTGTAGAGTGGTTATTCTTTAAAGCTTTTCTAGCGTTAGCTTAGTTCTATTCCCGAATTTTTACCTAGAATGTCTGCAGCTGGCCTCAGCTCCGTTGTGTCATGCTGATTATTCATAGACAAATTATGTATTCAATTTAATAATTTAAAAAAATTAGTTTTTAGTCATATATCTGTCCAGTATCATAATGATTAAAATTCGAAGTAATGCAATGTGCGCTATGAGTCTAACGGCTAACATGTAGAAAGTATTCTGCTCGAGAAAGACTGCAACAGCGACAAATGTCGTCGTTACCTCAGCAGATATGAAAAATAGGGGACAACTTTGTCAACTAGATCCTTCGTTATGTCGGTCTCTTGCAACACTAGAAACTGTATTTCTATACGTTAAATTTTTCATAACATTCTTCTAAGAAAAGATTACATAATCGATAAATAGGGACGATACTCCAGGAATACCCATTAGTTTTACGTACGAATGCACGGAGAGTTGCCCAAAAAAAAACGTATCACATTTCTTTGTTTCTGTCATCTATTTTGTCCTACGTACCTACAGTAGGATCGCCCACCTTCGTTTTCGTTTAATGCTGTATTTACATTATGTAGCCCGGCGCGATGCAGGCACCAGCCTGGATTCATACAGCCCTGTGGGCTTTGTTCCCACGAAGTGTCCACTCGAAAATTGTAGTGAGCTTTCTCTCTGACCAACACGCAACACGCATGTAATGTAGCGAGATCGGGGGCCAAGGATAACCCCCTACCGTTCTTCTAGCTGGATGTACACTTTGAGCGTAATTATAATTCTCTCGATGGACACAAAGGCTTAGCCACCGATAAACTGTCAGATTAACTGGCTTTGAGATGCTGCTGTAACGGCGCCACTGGGGCGGTACGGTGCAGCTTCACTTAATCATGGTTGCTACTGCGCAATGGACTCATACTCAACCCATAAATCAGGGCATGCTTGTGGTCTGGAAAAGATATCAAATTGGACATATCAATGTTATCATGGATGCCGCAATTATACTCTACCGATTGTTACATACAATAGAGGGTAGGCCAAATCATTACCACGAGAAGTGTATTACTTGCTCGGTTCAAGGGCCGGTTCTTTCAACAATGAATTATCGTCCATGTGAGAGAGCAGGACCGCGACGGATTACCAACTCCGCAGACCACCTCTACACTGATAATATCGTAACGTTAACGGGACCAAGAGGAAAAACAGTTGTGACCAGAAGCTTGTTACTTGCGCTAACTGCTACAGCAGACGTTTTTTCCCAATACTTCGCTATAGAAAAAATAGGACGGAGCGAAAACAACAGCTATAGAAGTTTAATGGACATCGCAGCAGCGGGCTTTTCTCTTATCAGGCAGTAGCAAATGAACTTAATTGAATTAAATGGATTTCTGCCTGCTTGCTTCTTTCAGAACATGAACGCTACTGCCATGCACCGAACGGGGGAAGGGCCCCAAAATGATTTCACGACGACCGGTCTCCTGTTTACACGATTTTCTCTGAAGATGTATACTATCTAAAGATTACGGTTACTAATGAACCTCGAAATAGGAATACTTTAATAGATGATTCAGAAACACTTGAGACGGGAAAGCATTTCCGACCCGTGAGTTGCATCAAACTTCCACATACAAATGCTTACGATAATAACTGCCTCTACCGCTGATCGTGCACCAACGCCCTGAAAAGCACCACGTTGACTACTATAGCTGCACCTCTAAACATTAAGGTTTCGTTCAAAAAAAAATATATCTCGAGGCTCCTAGTGAAATACTTACGTGACAGAATGCTAGCGGCCACAGGCGGGGATGACACAATACTTTAAGTATTCCGAAGATGACTTGCGCATTTTTCACACTTATTCCGAGCACTGATCGTCAACGTCACCTTAACCCTTTTCCCATTATCGTCTGCGTCCTTCTTATTCCGTGTGATAGATCGCAAGTGTTGTGTAGTTATGTACTATGTATCGATAGTGGGTTTGTCCTATACCGTAAGTTTCAATGATTTAAGCCTACTTCTGCTGAAGATGCTCTAGTTTCTAGTTTACTGGCATACTCTCATTAGGTATCAAGGCTAGCGCGATGATAACCCAAACGTATCCAGTATCACGCTCGTTTTGAGCGAGCTCTCCGAAAAGTTAGCTTCCTCACAATAGTGACTTCAGTGATAACAGAAGTCTACGAAACCGACCCAATGTCCGCTAGCTGTTCTCGGACAATATTCACTGTTTCTCCCGTCGTTCCATTGATAAAATCGAAAGGACCCTATTATAAATCGTTGTGGCTGCCAGCGTATATATATAACGCACCAGCAGTATATAGTAATAGAAATAAAACTGAAATACTGTGAGGACCAATCCAATAACAAGATACCCCGATGATGACTATCCCCGTAACGTTATGTTCTTCGTGGCAGCCAAAAATCGTATTGAAGCTTTTACGTTTTTTCACTACAGTATACTCCAGCGACACGACAAACTTCCCTCCATAACTGTGGAGGGCCTCGACGTTGTATGCCCAAATTGGATTATAGGTATTATGCTCAAGGGTTTGATGCAGAAAACATTTGATGGTAGCACCATACGTAATTAAAGTGTGTGAGGTCCGAGCTACATCCTACAGACAAACAAGATCGTGTCGGCAATTGCTGGCTTCTGCATTATCACGGACCAGCGGACCTGATGTTGCCGAAGGATAAGCGTTTCAAGGGATCACGCAGACGATGTCGAGATTCGGCAAATCATTTGTTTGAAATTCTACGACAAGAAAAATAGCGTCTAGGACATGCGTAACCTCGACTAAGTTTTTGTTATTATTGTTGTTATCCCAGTTGCCTATTGTGAAACTTTACTGGACCGTTTTACGTTTTGAAGTCCTACGGTTGAAGTAGAACAATGGGATTTAGCAATTCTACGAACACTAAGAAGCGTAAAACTGAATTCTTAGATGATAGCTTCTAGCGTAATGAAGAACCGCTTTCATTTACTCTAATAAAGCGAGACGAACGAATCCAAAAACCATATAGTCAGTAATTTGTTTCACGATAACAGCTGCCTCAAATATATATGCTGTGAGAAGAAAAAATACATATGTGGTATAAGTATACTACGACAAGTGTGTACACTTGGGACAGAGTAACATTTAAAACGTTAGCGACTCGCGTTATCAGTTAGAGTTCAGTGCCAGCGAAAGATCCCAGCAATTTCTCTTGCATTATTTTGCCATTTGTATCGTATTTACTTAAGCTCACAATCTGTACGCTGGAGCAAAAAAGAAGACTTCAAAACGTGTGTTTATCATGTTCTCGGGTAGCATACAAAGCGAAATGATGATCGATCGGTCCCAATTTCGAGTTTATTCTTAGTTTCGCCCCTTCTCCGACCCAAAAAAACATCCTCTTTGAATAAGCGTTGTCCCTATGATCTCAGTTTCGTTTCTTACTTCGATTCCTAATTCCCAAAGGCGATGTTCGTTGTTGTATTTTTTCTATGCAATATTCCAAAGGTGTTAATAGCATAATTGCTTCAAAGGCCATTGTTCTAGGATAAATAACTCAAATAAGCAGATTTAATTATTCGACTATGAATGCTAAAATCTGTGGCGCACATAACTTCGCGTAAATAAACCGCGAGGCGAGGTTTTCAGCAGGAGAGGATTATTTCTTACCCGAAAGTTCTAAGTTAAAAAAGCGATGTATAAAAGAATGTTTCTTATAGGACAATCTGGAAAACGTACATCTAACATAAGTCTATTTATTATTAAATATGAACTTCATCATTCATAGATCTTTAATATGTCAAATTCTAGTATTATGTGGGTGACAAGTAAGGCCAAAGCTGCTATTTAAAAAGGCCGAACAAAACTTTTCACCG